GCCTGCTCTGTCGCCGCGGCTAGTCATTAAAACCTCGAGTGTTGGAACGCAGCAGTGTGCCATGCCGACGCTATCATGATCACCGAAATGAACCAGCTGGTTTCCGCTATAGCTTCGATGAACGCGCAACGTTGATAGACACGAAATTAAAAGAATACCAAGACTATAAAATCGTTCTACTGCAAGTTTAAGCAGACCCTTCACCATTGGAGCCCCGCACAAGTATACCAATTCAGCATCTCCGTCTTTCTCAGGGGCAGCAATGCGAGTTCGCAATATTGAGATCGCAGACAAGCACCGACATTCAGCGCCAAAATACATGGTGGTCTGCGAACAGTTCTGAGAAGTAAAATACTTCGTTATATCGGTATTTTCGTTACACTGAACTTCTTTAAATAGAGGTTCGACTGTATACGGTCCAGGGTGCAGATTTTATTTTGCTTTTCTTTAGAAGCTGAGAAATATATCAGTTCGTTTTCTTAGTATATGTTGACGAGTGCAAGGATAGAGCGCGCATGCCGTTAAACTTTTCGGGCAGCATGTATACATATCTCCTCTCTCAGTTTAGAAAAATAAATTTATTTTTTGGTATCAGTTACACTTGTTTTCAAGCAACGTGTGCTTTTGAACATTACCGCTCCTCTATTTGATTATTGGCACTGCCAAGCCGTACCGAATGCGGTCAAACTTTTCACTAACTTCATATTAACAACCGCTTCAATAGAGATGAAGGCACTATACACGCGCAGGAAATAATATAAACGGGATTATCATTTACCCTCCACCAACGTCATGTGCGCTAGCAGAAAGCAAAAAAAAAAAAAAAGACGGTATTCTACCAGCCAGTCGAATGTAATTTTTTCTTTATCGAATATTACTACGGAATTCTATTCCCACCGCATTATTAGAGAATTGCAGGCCACGCACATGTTGTGAGTGGCCAAAGTCAACACGGGTGAAAACACACTCGCGTGCTTTGGACAGGGTCCCGTGACCGTCTAAAGTAGTGTGAGGCTCGGATTTCGCCTCCCTTCGAGCAGGTGCAGAATCTTCTCAGCAGAATCGGGAAAACAGTTGAACGCGTACACACCATGCATAGATGAACCGAAGCAGGCGCATGCGCGCACGGCAGCGATCGGCCATAGATCACCATAGCCCGAGGCGGCGGCGCCGAGCCAATTCCGCCGGCGCGCAGACAGGCAGGGCCCGGCGGAGAAGCGGACACGCCTCGCCCGCCACGCTACACTACCGGTACGGTAATAATTAATGGATCGGCGTTTAATTGCCTCCTCCGAAGGAGAAGGATGGGGGGAACGGCTGGCTTTCGAGATCAGCGTCCTCACGCTGGTGATTAGGCTATCTAGTATACGCTATACATATAATATAGTACAAACTGGCACGCACCGCCTCGAATGGCGTAAGAGGGTTCCGCATGCGGAAATGCTTCATCGCAGGCCTATATTACATGTATAGGCTGTCGATGGCTACCCGTTGAGAGACTCGTCTATAGATGGAGTTGTCAACGGGAATTAGTGGGCGAACTTAACACCGACAGGCTCGCGCTGCACACTGTCGCGGCAGGGACTCGCCCAGAGTACAGAAATTCCAAGACGGCCGTTGTCGAGGTTAATAAGCCCTGATGCGCGCTTAATACGGAAGACACCTCCGGGCCGGCCGCTGTATAGAATACACGAGCGCGCCCCGCGTTGGTCCGCTCGTGGATGCACACGGCGGCACGTTTTCGATAAAGTGCAGCACCGCATTTCAAGAGAGGCGCTTTAGACAGATACGGCGAGTAAAACGAAACGCAGTGGTCCTTCCACGCAGTTTAAAATTTTCAGCAATCTTTGAAATAGAAGAAAAGGCCATTTTCAAGCTGATCAAGGCAAGAAATAAACAGCCTTCATGAGTGCAGGTTCATAGCTGAAAAAAAAAAAACACAACTTTGCAATCCTATGGTGTGTAGTACATAAGTAAGTTCGCAACTTTTTTTTTTTTTTTTTTTGTGCGTAGTCTTATTACTGCGAACCCAGGGAATGCTCCTATAGTATAACCCATATATGCCCAGTGTCCTACATGTAGAACGGTGAAACTCTTCAGTGTAACTCGGATGTTTTTTCTGCAAAAATGTAGCGCCACCTATAAGGTGTGTTTATTATGCCCTGTCTTCGTCACATGCAAGTCTAGGTGATCGCTGGGCAAGAAACAGTCACGCGCTTGCCCTCACAAAATGGCTATTTAACGTGCATGTAGCTGAGCGCCATACCGCGAAAAAATATATATAAAAGTAATATAGAGTCAAGCTGTTCTCTATGCTGCTGCTATTTTCATCGATTGTTCGTCAGTTATTGGGTGTACAGTAACTTTCGTATGACAGTGATAGGTGCTAATGTTTTTTTTTTCACGGTGGGTCAAACATAGGCGTCCTACATACAGGACGGCTACAAAATCATTGTTTGAAAGGTTTTTTTTTAATAAAAGCCTTACTTTCTTTTCTGAGGTCGCAGAAGCAATGTTTTTCGGGAAATAAATTAGATTTGTTTAATATTCCCAAGATTAGGCATATATGGGATAAACAAAACGGCTAAAACAACAGTCACAGAGTAGCAGCAAGTAAAAGGGTTTACACGAATAAAAAAAATGGCAACGCAGTTGGACAACCACTGGAAAACGTCTGTTATTTATTTATGTGTATATTTAGATAACAAAGCACAGCGTGGACAAACAATAGAGAAGACATTGCCTGAATACTTGTACATTGATAAGTGTATGCACAGCTTGTACGTACCCAAAGTATATGTAGTCTTCCAAAAAAAAAAAAAACCGCTACGATAGCACACGGGACAAGGATAACATTAGCCTTACTATTTGGGGAGTCTCCGATTTTAGTCCAAGTTTACACGGCACTAATGCAAAACACAGGTCAGGACGACTGGTAAGAGTTTCTTTCCTATATTGCGGACCTGTTAAAATGCCGTCGCCTTAAGCGTTGCCGTTCTAAACGCTAGTTCTACGTGCGTAACCCAATAATTGACATGCAACTTATTCATGAGCACGAAAAGTGCTGCAATATTAAAGGTTTCATTTCACGTCGTGAATACACGCATATTCTTTCGTATATTGTGTAGGAGGAAGGAAGCACAGGGACGTATATTGTGTGAATATACGCTGTTCCTAAGAAGACCTCAGTGATACCAACATGTTGAGCCAATCGATATGTAGTATATGCGAAAAAAAAAAAGCTACCCGAAGAGAATGAAGACTAACGGAAAGCGCTCTTTCTGTCCTTCATTTTTTCCGTGCAGTGTTTTGCACCAAGGCTGCATTTCAATATGCAGAGCTCCCGCACGACAAACTGACTGATATACAATAAACGGTGCATAACTATAGCTAAGAGTCCGTCTTAACGAGCCACCGCCATTTAGGGAGTACACCAAAATGAAGCCTACAATGAACCATGAATTTTAATTGACACCCGTAATCACAAACCAACCTTACCCTGACATCGCGTTTCCCTCATCCGTTTGAAGCCTTAAGCGGGTTTGATAAACGAAGTATATAATTATTCACAGATAAATCTTGCAGTTACATCTTTTACCCTGCTACCAATTCTGTGTCCTTATAACGCACGTAAAGAATAACTTTACGAAAACGTTAGATGCGGATAAGGTTGGTTTGTGAACACAGGCCTTAATTTTACGGCTATCATTACAAGGCCATGATACAGATACACTCCATTTACACTTGCACCCACATATGTAAACTCGACCACTGATCTCACAGCGTGCACTTCCCTAACGACCAAAGTTTGTGATGTGGGAGGAGGAGGAGGAGGAAGGGGGAATATCATCACGTGACTCGTGCACACGCCGTCAACGAAAACACAAGCACGTAGTTTCAGAACACGGGCGGCGCACAGGGCGAGTGCTTGTATAGAATCGAGTCCGGCTCATTTCTCCACTTGGCCGCCCGACGATAGCCACGCGAGGATGGGGTGCCTGCCGCGCCGGCAGCCGCAGAGACGCTCTGCAGCCTCTTGCACCAAGGCCCCTTGGATGGGATCCACGGCCCCGTACGCAATTAGCTCGAGGCACGCGCTCGCTGGCGCGTTAACAGGCGTGGCCACCCGCGAGACGAAAGGCAGCCAGCGATGCTCGGCGCCGACTGGCGATCAGCTCCCGAAGCGATAAACGATGACTCTCGGTTGCAATGCCGTCTGTATAGTATACGTTCGAGGATGGCCTACGCACGCTCCGAGTATGCTGTCTCGTAGCTCGAATAAAAACATCGCAAATGCACGCCCGTGCCTCACGAGGGCAAGTCGAACGCCTTGAACAAAACGACAGAATCGAACTGCGTGCACTCGCTGTATAATTATTATACAAAATAATTAATTTGGTATAGTCTCGTAATTTTGCTTTCTCCGTTTCCTCTATGCTGTGTCTCTCGTTTTGCTATCATCTAGACGTGGTTTACTTCACGCATGTGCGATCTTTTGTTTTTTGTTTTGCGCGAACCGATACAGGAGGCATGCAAGGAAAGTTTTCGATGATTATAATGATAATAAAACTTCAGCTGAGAGTGCAGTGTAGGTCTTGTCTTCTTTTCGTTACTCGTGTATTGCTATTCCTTGTCGAGCACTGTCTTATACCACATTTATTAAAGCCCTTAATTAAATTTCACAACTACTGACGATGGCAGTTTAACGACTGGCCCCAAATCTCCGCAAAAATCGATCGCCCGAACGTTCTCCACGTTTGTTCCGTCTGAAGCATTAAAGAAGAGATAGCGACGCATCTTGTATAGAACACACCGCCGCACGCAGGTATACTCATTCTGTCACTTGAAAGGCACACACTCTGAAAAGCCAGTTCTCATACGAACTGCAGCGATATCTACCAGCTCAAACAGATGGCACTTTCGTTTAGTGGTATATTTCACTCGGGGAAAGGGATAATACATGAAAGCGCGAGTTGCCGTGATGTGGCCGTGCGACCGACCTTTCCGCAGATGATGACGGGCAGGCTGACCAGCTGCGCCGACCAGAGCACGGGCACGGGCACCACCTTCATCATCAGCATGGCCAGCAGGCAGGTGTAAGAGGCCGTGAAGCCCACCACGCGGCTCGTCTGGCCCCGGTAGCGCATCACCAGCGCCGCGATCAGCGCAGTCTCCAGCATCAGGAACAGGCCCTCGCCCCCACGAGCTGCGAAGAAGAACGAGCGCGCAGTGTGAAACCCCACAACCGCCCAAATAAATCGCCCCACCAATAAGAACAGGCAGGGGCACACTAAATGAGAATTGCAACATGTTGTGCAGGAAAGTGACGCGGGATCAGGCGTTGACACGTAAAAAGAAGATCTACAAATTTTATCGACAAAACACTTGCTCCGTTTCGCAACGTGTACATTCTCCAAAAATGGTAGTGCGTGTGTGCGTACCAGCATGATAGGGCGAGGGGAGCTGCCACGTTCGATGCAATGGCAAAGACAAGACACGACATGACCTCACCGCCGCATCACAGCACGACACGAGGGCAATGCCAACTTGAGGAGAAAAAGCTCTCGGATGTATACTTGCGACCAATTGCTTCCTTTTACGCAGTGGACCAAAATGGGAGAAGCCTTTTTCCGTATGTCGCTGTCCGCGCGATGGATGGTCTTGTTTGGCCGATTTTGCTTAGAATTTCGATTATGGCTAACAAGAGGCCAATACCTAGTCTAACCACGAACATAATAAATCATACAAAACGACACACATAATTTAATCTTACTGTACCTTCTACTGAAACGACTCCCAGTTTTCATTACAGGCGAAAGCAGTAGACAATTGCTTCGTCAAGCCCCTGGCAAGCCTCAGCCAGCAAATTAATAAATATATAAATAAATTATCTCAAAAATAAGAGGTCTAGGGCTAGCGGAAAAAGTTGCTATAGTGTGTGTGCAGCGTTTTACACTGAGCACGCAGCCTGAATTATACGTATGTCGCTTGTTGTGCTGTATTTTGTACCTCACCTTGTGCGTGTACTATGCCTCGGGGCAATCATTTCACGCAACGCTCTCATTTTCAACTGGACGCCTGGCACAGCGATTAAGCAAACTTGACTGTCGACTACACAACTACGGGATTTCCATAAGAGCTTCGTGCGTTGTATTCCTTGTTTTTCTGCTTCGTCTGCATTTTATCGCACTGTTGCCTTATTCAAAGTGTTCAACCAACTAGCCAACAAGTTGACTTATTACGGTGTATCCAAGTAGAAGCCATATCAAAGCTTCATCACAAGAAAATATTTTAATGAAGATAAAAAAAATAGAAGACGACACGTGCCGAGGCAACCAAGGAGACAAGCACAACGCAAAGGAGGAATCCGTATACAGCGATTGTGACGTTTATTCCGAAGCTATCTTTAAACTATACCCAGAGTCTCACCAAAGCAGAATAGGAAAACGCTACATATGCGCACCTGCCTCACGAGCAGCAGTAGCTGCGCATACAGCGCAACGTTTCTCTGGAAACAACCGATTACCGCAATCACAAGCCATTGGGAGCCAGAACTGGACAAAGCTAAGGCCAATCCAAGCACATTCCCCTTTGGGCGCAACCATTCTAGCCGCTCCCTTACACACAAGCGCCACCGCTCTTACGAGTGATCTTCGGAGGATAGTTATGAAACTATAATGTTCATACGCGTCGCCCGAGATCACAGGCGCTCCCCGACACGACGGCCCACCTCGCGCGCAACACGGTCGAGACGCCGCCACCGCTGTGATTGGAGGAGAGTGCAGGATCGAAGAGCAGCGCCCGGCGCACATCAAAGGGAGAAGCGCCGACGGGGCGGAACCTTCTCGGCCGGCCGCGCCTCACGTGGGTTCTGCCACCGCTGTCGCAAACGACGACGGAGGGTGGACGGGAGGATGCATCCCCATTACAGGCGACTGCACTTAGCACACCCGCGGCTCCCCCTTCTTCTTCCCTGCTATCGGAGCGTAATTAGTACACTCTCGGCGCGCGCGTGCTTGGCGGTGTAGAAGGGAGAAAAGGGAAGGTTAATAAAGGAAAGAAACCGGCCCGGCGCAGCGCTCGCAGCAAATGAGCCGTGGCTCTGGAAATGCAATTAGGGATACCGGGAAAGGCGCTCGCCTTTCCTTTCTCCCACTCAGCCTCACTGCAAGATGCCGAAGGAGAAAGAAAACCCCACGCGAGAAAGAGCGAGGAGAAAGCCAGCGACGGCACGGGGAAGAAAGGGGTGGCCATTTTCTCCCCCCAAAAGGGATTCCTCTTCACTCCTTTTCTGGTGCGTTTGCTTCGTGGGCCCCCCCCCCCCTCCCTCTACGTTAATGGATTCCCTTACATAACGCATCCGCAAGCACCCAGAAGGGAGGAAGGAAAGCCTTTCCCGGGCGTAATGGGGACCGTGCGGCGTTGCGCCTTCGCGCTGCCGCCGACGGAAGCGCCGCACTCACGCTCCTCTGGCAAAGATAGGGGAAAAAAGGAGTAAAAAAACAACTCCCGACCACAACCCCACCACTCCCGCGGCGCCCCATACACGCCTGCACACACACCCGTCCTCGCGCGTCGTTGGCCACACAGTCATTGTTCTTGCGGTCTCTCTCCCTTCGTTTTAAAAACTCCCGAACGGGGAACGCACCAGTGACCCCGAATATATATAAACAAACGTTACGGGTGCGTGTGTGCACTGCGCTCATTCTCTCCCGTTTTCTTCCTCGGCGTGAACATATATGCATAGAGACCCCCCGTTTGATAGATACTCAGGCCACTGGCATCCGCATCGCGCACGCTGCTCCCGTAACCGGGCTGGCAGCGGGAGCGCGGGAAGAGCGACAATTTGTTATGGGGTTAAGGGAACGGCGTCCCCGCTGTTTGCGTAAGAGCGGCAACGCGTGCCGCCGGTGACGACAGTGTGGAGACCGCGGGGTTACTTCCCCTGCGATGTAGCGTCGATCGGGACCCAAGATATGCGAAGGAAATAGGGAGTTTTCGAGTAGCGCACCGCGGGCTCTTGCGGTGCGGTCGCTGCCACGGCGCATGCGTCGTAACGCGAGTCGACGTTCGCAGCCTACACGCAGAAAATCCGAAATTGTGCGCGGCGTTCGCGGCCCGCATGTGGCCCGCAAACACTGGATTCGAGGCTACGGTGTCGCTGCAATCGTGCGTGGCGGTTTGCAGCAAGGCAAACGCTATTCTAAAACTCATATGGCGTCCACAACGCCCGCAACGGCCACAGCGCTTGTAAACGGTATTCTAAAGCTCCGTATTGACGAGAGCTAACCGGTTGCGGAACTGAAAAGTCGCAGCGTGCTCGCCGACCTCGTACGGCGCAGTTGGCTTGATTACGAGAATAAAAGTGCGCTACCACAATTACAACAAGCTAGTAGGGGAATATGGTGAGAATGTACCAACATGCCACCCTTACAGGACGCTGATACTCTCGAACCTCTAGAAAAATGTGGTGTCCCCGAGGAATGGAAGTTCTCGAAGGCGAAGACGGGATTCGGATGCTTCGGCTTGATATGTCGTGGCATGTCCTCAAAGCCATGTGCCGACTTGACGAAATCAATGCTTCCTTATACCGAAATCTTGCGAATAAGCCTCGGCTCAACCGCGATGAATACTTCTTTGGTGTTTTCTTATAACACACGAGTGAGCGAATACAAACTAAACATACGACTGACGTGATAGATGGCCTCTAGAACCATTTTTTCGAGCATACAAGTGCCCTAGAGTGCTTCCACTTTTTCCTAGAACGCAAGTATATAAGACACTGTGGTCAAAGCAATACTGGAATAGACCGTCGCTGAAACCTCTTTCAGCCGCACTCGTACAAGTGGTCAATAGCTAAGCAATTACTTGTAACATTGTAACAACAAACACATGTAACACTCTATATTCGCACCAATAAAAAATTCTGAATCTAAAATCACACGAAGCCTCTAAGGTCAGTGTTCCTGAGCAATGAGTTTCGCAAACACCCCAGGGTTAACATATATATCGTTTGATGGTAATATAAACGCTGTGTTTATGGAGAGAAGAAAACTCGAACTCAACAACCACAAGGTTAGGCGAAGTTCCCGTTGCTCTGCCCACACCACACAACCGCTCTCCGCAAAATTCAAAGCGATTCGACAGCGACTAATGCACGTCATGATTGTTACTTAGTCAAGTAATTTCACAGCTTGCAGCTTCGAGCAACATTCAGTCAAATGTCGCGCGGAGCAATATCAGGAAAGCAGGGAGCCACTGTTGGCATTGTGCACTATGTCTTGCGATACCAGTCAAAACCCAGGAATCAAAAGCACCCCATTATACTTGGTTCGATATACCGTAGAATTCAACATGAAGTTTTGAAACAATCGGCCACATGCTCAATGGAAACATCCGTGCGCAGTTTTACTTCACGGCACTACTTGACAACAATGCAAAGAAGGCAATTTCAGAGCAATACGTGCTCCCCCTCCCCCCCCCCCCCCCCTATTTTCGCGCATTGCTGTTGGAGGCATGCGTTATATGAGGAATCGAGTCATGTGCGAGGCGTTACACCACTGATGTAAACAGCGCCTCTCTAACTACATACGAAGATGTGCGTACACGTCGGGCGCCTAAAGCATCTGTGTGTCTTGGCATCATGACACTCCCGAATGAATGCGGGAAAGCGTGCTTACGAAAAAAAAAAAAGATCAAACCTTAAGTGAGAAAAAGTCTACTTCTCGGGGCGCTCCAGCTATTTTGTTCCATGTAGCCGCACATTTACTGACATTAAGGAATCCTGATGTTTGAGAAACAGGTCGATATGAGGCAGTTGATTGATATGTGGGGTTTAACGTCCCAAAACCACTATATGATTATGAGAGACGCCGTAGTGGAGGGCTCCGGAAATATATGAGGCAGTTAGATTTACTCGAGTTGAGCGTACTCGGGTTTCACAGGGTACTTCCGGACCGTGTATTTTCTTCATCAATATTAGCAGTCTTTGTATGAATTCTGATCACGAAATTCTCGTGTCCAAGTCCTCAGCCAAAACTGAATGTACGGATCCGGACCTACACCGGTCTCATGGGCCAGTCCTCGGTTTTTTTGTTTTTTTTTTTACAAGACGGCCCTCCATGACGAAAGTTCGCGCTTCCCGTCGTCATGCAGCCTGAACGCGGTTCACTGCCCACTGAATGGGCGCGTTCATGAAGCGGCTGT